GCCACTACCTGAGGTGTCGGAGTTTTGCTGTCGTCACCCCTTGCGTTTAAATTGTTAGATCTACCCTGCACCTGTAGTTCGAACTCTGCGATTTTGTCCATTGCTTGCTTGAGCGACGCTTGTAGTTCGTCGGTGGACATGATTAAAAATTTCAATAGAACAAGCAAAGTAAACAAACAAAAAAATTTTCAATGCAAAATGCACGACGAGAGTGTAGGACTGCAAGAGTTTAAAAAAAATGGAGTATTTTAATTAAAAAGAAAAATAGTAACGTTAAAAGTCTGAAAATACGCGGAGCCTCATGTTAAAATCGTGTTGAACGAGATAAAAATAAACAACAGCAAGCACGGCTTTAGGCGAAACACGAGGTGATTCCGAGAAAACGCTGCAAGTTGTGCAAGCGCGCGCGTGTCGAGACACGACATATAATACGCAAGTTCACGTGGGCCCGCGCAAAGGCTGTAATTGTCAACAACGCGAGAAAAAGTATATATGTATATACAAGTAATCAAGCTGGTACGCAAAAAGAACAAAGCATGCAAACACTATTGAATCGCCTTAAATATAATTGAAAATGTTCGGCGAAATCGCACTTCGCAAGGTCACGCATGAGTACCTGCAGGAGCTGCGGCAAGACGATAAGCTGAGGGCCACTGTAAGCTGGAACGGGTATGATGAGCTGCATCGATGATGGGCTGTTGCTGGGCAATGCCGTTGGCCGGCGTAAACACGCAAGAATGCTGCACGGTCAAGAGCACTGTACTGGAAGCGTCCGGAAGGGCTCGAATGGCTCGGTGATTTTGGCGTCGAGAGGCCGAGACAATGTATTTCGGAAGAATCATCGACGAGGTGTCAGCGTGAGCCCCAGGAAGGCTGGCTCTCGATAGGCAACAATGATGGCTGCCACAGCACAAACTTGCTGCTGCCACTGCACAAAATTGCTGCTTACATCTTCCAAGAAGTATAATAATACCTTTTTCTTCTTCCTCGAGACAGTCGGGGTCACCAATATGAGATATAAGTATGTGGCCTATAAATCGGCTTGAGGTGGCAGTCCCATGGCTGCCGTGTACAGAAGTTGAGGAGGAAGGTGAAGTAATTAAACGCTTGTTAATATTAACAAGAAGAGGTTTAATATTCACTAGTAAGAAAGGGCTTCTCAAGGAAGCGGAAGCTACAAAATGTGCGCTCGCAATGACGGTCGAGACTTCTCTGCTCGCGCAGCGGCCTGCACGACGAGCAGAGACGTGGGAGAAAGAGAAGCGGAGGAAGGCTAAAGAGCCTACTCTTTTACCGACGGTTGCGCAGCAGGATCGGATCCCCACATACTTTATCATGCTAACGCCATCTCTGCGCAATTTTTATCATCACGTTATACGTTTTTTCATGCCGAGTGCCGACGCAATCTATGTATTTATTCATGAAGGCGAGCTCGTGACAACTTGACGGAAAAAAATCACCAAACTTGTTTTAAGTATTCTGACGCCAACCCGATTACTGGAAGTACTAGTATTTTTAAGATCATGTGACGACGGCTTGTGGTTCAAATGATGATGTGATATTCCATGTGATTTTCATGTGATTTTCTATGCCAAATAACTACTATGTACCTACAATTTCCGTCTCAAGACTGATACTGTTCAAGAAAGACTTTTCATAATTTTATTCATTAATTCCTTATTTTTGTCTTGATGCACAATCTTGTATTATGTTCCAATGTTTAAAATATGTTAAAATGCGCTTAAATGTAAATAAATAATGAAATAAAAAAAAAAATAACATTTATTCTACGAAAATCAAAGGTGTAATCTGTTTTTACATACATTGCTTATTTTTTTGATGAGTATTGAACTATTCTACACACAATTAACTACCTACGCAGTTTTTGTGTATGTATGTGTACACCCACACCCACCCACCTATCCACACACACACAATTACACACACACACACACACACACACATATATATATATATATATATATATTTGAAATCGAATTTCGAATACTCGAATGTATTCGAATATTTGGCACGAATATTCGACTTCATTCAAATATGTAGTATACGAATACTCGAAATCGATTTAGAATTGAAGTCCTTACTTCGCAGTTCGCACGGTAATGTCGCAAATGCGATTATGCGATAAGAACGAGGAATAGGAAATAACAGGAATATAAGGAAATAATGAAAATAAAGAATAAGGCTGCAGTCACATGGAGCGCTATAGAGCGTGCAGGATAGAAATGTCCCCACAAGCGACTGTGTTAAGTCCATTGTGCTGCAGAATAGACCTATTGCGCGGCGCAATAGATTTAATAGAGTCGCTTAGGCTGCAGTCACATAGAGCGGAATAGAGCGAGCGCAATTGGTCTTATGGGGACAATTCTATCCTGCACGCTCTATTGCGCTCCATGTGACTGCAGCCTAAGGACTTAGGAGCACAATAGAGCGTTAGAAATTTCCCCATAAGCCAATGTGTTGACTCTATCCTGTTGCGCAATAGGTGAATGCAGTAGCAGGGTAGACTTAACACATTAGCTTATGGGGATAATTCTATCTTGCACGCTCTATTGCGCTCCATGTGACTGCAGCCTAAGAGTAATGCAGGATAGAATCGTCCCCATAAGTCACTGCCCAAGGAATGCTTTCTGTAAGCACTGGCCGTTTAATCTAAGTGGTTAGATAATAAAATATAAAAATTAGATAATAACATATAAAAAATAGACTGCTCGTTCTTATGCACGGCTCTGAAGCACGGGTAGAAAGAGACACAGCATCGAACGTGGATCTTTTTACTATGATGTTATTGTGCGGGTTTGGTTAGGTTGACCCTCCCCTGAAAATGTGGGAGAGAAACAGATATTCACGCTCGATGCTGTCTCTCTTTCTACCCGTGCTTCAGAGCCGTATATAAGAATGAGCAGTCTATTATTTATATGTCTGTGTTTTCCCCTTATTCTTAAATATTGTCTGGGACACTGATATACTGGAGGAGTAACTGCTGGAGCTTATAGAAAGCAACCCAAGTAGAAATTGAAAGTAAGTGAAAACTGGGCCCAAGCTTCCCGATCAGAAACCTTAAATTGGGGTGCTTAGCTAGCAATACGTGGCTCAGGTAGGCTCCCATGATAGGGACAACACAGGCATTAATGGAATCTGTAATGGGGTTTGAGATTGGCGCTAGCTAGTGCCTATCTTAGGTATCTTGCTCTTTCCCACGCATAGACTATATACATATATACGTTTTGAAGCATTCTGCTATATAAAGTATTTTCGAAGTTTAGAGGAGCTGTATTCATTTAAGTATAACATAAACTGCATATAAAATATTTTGAAGTACTTAATTAATCAATTTAAAGTTTGTTGAAAATGAGTGAAAAACTAAAGCACTCTATATTTTTAACCAAAAAAGAGTTGAAAAGCATCGGAACTTGTTAAAGCTGATCATGAAAGTGCGCTTCAAGTAATAGAGCGCAAGTGGTCTTACGGGGACAGTTCTATCCTGCACGCTCTATTGCGCTATATATGACTGCAGCCTAATAGTAAGGCTATTCACATAGGCATGACAGTTTTACGCAGTCACGTTTAAAACTAAGTAATGTGTCTATATACCAGTGTTGAGATATAGTTCCGGCCAAACTTAGGGATTCTCTAGGACCCAACCTCTCTGACTTGCGAAACCACCCAATCAGAAAGCTTAAGAGGGCTTCGTGTTGAGCCTACATTGGTTACCCAGTTACCTATGTAGGTCCAACCAGTGCAAATACATAGAGGTAGGTGGCTTAGTGTAATGGGGCGTTGTGTGGGGTCGATATTGGCATCCCAATTAACTTATAAAGGACAGGGTTAGAAAAATAAAAAAAGATTTCAGAATAAAATTTAATAATTTATGTAGGGGACGCATATAAATCTTATTCGTAATGACATTCATTAGCATAATTTGTTGCGTATGCGACGGTTTTAAACTCTGAATTTAAAAAAAAAAAAGATATTAAAAAATGATGATATTAAATATTGTGTATATTTGCGTCGCAAAGAAAGTAGGACCCCAGGGGTCAGGCGTCGCTCTCTTAATTTTCAGTTACGTAATTGAAGTTCAATAAAACGCTTACGGCTATCAAGTCAATGAAAAACAGCATGAACAGGAAAAAGCCTTTTGGCAAAAAACCTGGTTTATTTCAGTGAAAGAAATTACATTTCGATTATAAATAATAATAGTGATAAACCTTAATAGTATATTATCAAAGAGAATGAGTAAAATGATGCCTAAGTTATTTAAGAACACCTTTTGGTTGGATTGTAGACCAAACTCTTTCCCAAGGGGGAAGGTCGATTAAGGCGAGCCGTTGCTCTAAGATTAGAGATTGCTGGCCAGGCAGATCCGGCATTTTCGTCGTCACGAAAATGTTGCGTCAAGTAATAGACATTTATGAGGCGTCATGGGCAACCAGAAAATCGAAAAAAATGTAAAGGTTACAACAATCGAGCTTTTTGTGGGTTAGAAAAGACAGATAAGTCAGCTTGAACGTCTCAAAAAAAAGTGAAAGAGAGTGCACACACAAATTTTTAACTCACCTTTTTTCACAGTGTGAATGTAGCTTATAAAAAAAAATCAACGCGTCTGACAAACTCAACTGTTTCTGCTGATCCACATAACATACTCCCCCGCGCTCACGAAACGAAAGGAAGAGCGAGGTAAACACTGTATCTCAAATATGGTATTATGAAGGTGAGATTATAATGTGTAATCAGGTGTACTTGTAAAGTAACTAATTGAACACTTAAATTTATTTTAACAACAAATAAGTTAATTGATGGCATTACAAATACTATTGTACAAAATACTTTTAAACATGATTAATGGAAGAAAACGAGATTTCTTAAAAAAAAATGACTAAAAACAAAATTGGTATTGAATTTTCAATGCTTAAAAACAAATATTTGAATGATTGAGGCAAAAATTTATACTTAAGGCAAAAAATAAACTTGTAAAAATGCTATTAAGATTCAGCAACTTCTTTGTCTGGCAATGGACAAAGATCCGTGATATTTCTCTGATAAATTCCGTTCTTTGTTTTAATTGAAGCCACACGCACCATACCATCATCTCCAGGGTGAATTTCAACAACTACGCCTAGCCTCCAATCAGAGCAGGCGATCTTTTTTCCATTAGAAATACAACTGAATTTAATTTGATCTCTCCTTTCTCTCCCTGTTATTTCTGTCTTTTTTGAAGCTCATTTAAATACTCGATATACCATCGCTTCCAAAAATCTTCTCTTGCTCTTGAAATGAAGTTCTAAGAGGACAAACGGTTTTCCGGAATGTCAGCAAAATCATAAGTGGGCAACAGAGTAATAGGCCTACCTATTATTAATGTGCTGGAGTGAGAACTTGTTAATTGTTTGGATCGGACGACAAAGAACATATAGGCCGTGAATTTTAAATGCCTTCGACGGTATCGGGCATTTTTAATCGCTGGAGACCGAAGACTTTCGAAGCCGGCCACCCACCCTTAAAATACCGTCTGCATCCAAAAAAGGATTAAAAGCCTTTAAACGCGATTCCTTCCCTTGTTTGACGAGATTTACTTCTAGCGAGAAGCGCTCTGCTTGCACGAGTCATAAAATCACCGTTTCTGCTCTCAACGTTTCTTCTACGCTAATATCTTTTCCACAAAAACGCCGATTTGCAACCTTAAATCGTAGACTTCGAGATATTAATCTAGTCAAACGATTAAAATCGGAAAATCTTGAAAACAGATCATTTTCAATGACAGTAGCTAAGCAATTACCGTGTGAAATAGAGTTAGGTGCTGTAATAATAATGACTTTAGGCCATTGTGATTTGGACTTTGCTAACCAATTGGGACCCGAAAGCCATTTCGGATTTTGTAAAAATTCAACAGGAGTTTGACCGCGAGATAAAGCATCAGCGGGATTGTCAGCAGATCTTACATGTCGCCATTTTACTTTGCCATCAAGCGTTTGGATTTCCTCTACTCGATTTGCATCGAAAACTTCCAGGTCACGGGGCGATTTTTTAATTTTATGAAGTACGATAGTTGAATCGCACCAGAAAATAATATTTTGAATAGGAAATTCAAAAGTTTCATAGCTTTCTCGAAATAATCTTACAAGTTGTAAAGCACCGCATAATTCTAAGCGAGGTATGGTAAATGAACCTTTAATAGGTCTTACGCGTGATTTAGAACATGCAAGATTTACCATAACCTTACCAGCCTCGTCTACTGATCTTATATATAAAGGCAAGTGCCATAACCCAATGGACTAGCGTCACAAAAACTGTAACATCTACTTGGACAAAACTATCAATGACTAATTTGCGTTCAATCATAAAATCTTATATTAGACCGATTTGATTGGTAAACCTTGTCCAAGAAGTATGCAATTTGCTTTGAACTGATTCATCCCAATCGATCTCCGCGTGCCAACACCTTTGCATTAAAACCTTAGCTGCGAAAACGACCGGTCCGATCAAACCTAACGGATCGAAAATTCTCGCGATTTCTGAGAGAATATGCCGCTTAGTTATTTTTTGCGTGATAATAGGCCTGACTGAAAAACGAACACATCCCGTCTTGAGTTTTAGAAATTGACTCTTTAATTTGCTCTCCGTGAAATATTTTTTCTTCGCCGTTATCAAATTATATGGACCATTTGAAACCCATTTTCTAATATCGAAACCGGCGATATCTAGCAAACGAATTACCCGTTCTCGTATTTGTCGTATTTCTTCGAGTGAATTCGAACCGGTAAGAAGATCGTCAACGTAAAAATGACGTTTTAAAACGGCCCATGCTAAAGGGAACTTCACGCTTTCGTCTTCGGCTAATTTTTGTATAGTTCTGATCGCTAGAAAGGTAGCTGAAGCATTTTCAAAAGTCACTGTGTTCATCTCAAAGGGTTTAATTTGTCCGCTACTGTCGTACCAAAATAAACGTTGATACTTTCTATCCCGATGATCTACTAAAGCTTGCCGATACATTTGTGCTATGTCTGCCGTCATGACGAAAGCGTAAGTTGGAAATCTTAATAAATGATTAAAAAGCTTATCTTGGATGGTAGGGCCCACCATAAGCACATCATTAAGTGAAAGTCCTTTATCGGTTTTACAAGAAGCGTTAAAAACGGCTCGTACTTTAGTAGTAGAACTCGATGGCTTGAGCACTGGATGTTGTGGCATAAAATAACCTTGTTCACTTTCATTTTGGACGATTGACAAATGCCCCTGATCTATGTAGTCTTGCATAACTCGAAAATATTCGGTTCGCAGTTCAGGATTCGCGTTTAAACGTCGTTCGAGCGAATAAAATTGACGTAACACTGTAATTTTTTAATTACCAAAGTCTATTTTATCTACACGAAACGGCAAACGAACGACATATCGCCCACTGGGATCTCTGGTAGTATTTTGAATGTAATGATTTTCGATTGACGATTCTTCTGCTCGCTTGATATCTTTTTTACATGGGATTTCTTCTATTTCCCAAAATTTAGTCATAATTTGTGTCAACTTCTCAAACTGTTCATTACGAGTACTTTTAGCCTCAAAAATGGTGTAATTGCAAAAAAAAATCTTTTAAAAAATTTCGTTGAAGCCCTCCAGCGATAATCCAGCCTAATAACGATTTCTGGGCAAAAAGATCACATGGATCGGTAGCTAGTTTCATTTGGCCTACGGAAAACAGCGAAAATATAGCTTCTGAGCCAATTAACAAATAAACACCACTTGGCATGTGAAATTGCGGATCAGCGAGTTGAATGTTATTTGGTAATTTAATCAAATGACGCGGAAACTTTTCAGAAGGTACTAAACTTGCAATCCGAGGAATAATTAGGCAAGTAAGTATTTTAGAAAAATTATTGTAAATAGATTTAATTTTTATATTGACGCTTTGGTTACATTCAGTACCTAACTCGTTTATTGCTCCGATTGTAACAGAGCAATTTTCGAAGGGCAAGCCTAATGAATTAGCTAAACGGAACGAAATCAAATGCACGGTAGAGCACGTATCAAGCAAAGCGCGAGTGCGTATAAACTTTCTCTGCGCATTTAAAACGTTAACGCTAGCTGTTGCCCTAAGCTGAGAGTGTACTTTGCTTATAGTTGAGCTTAACCATTTTTTTCCTAGTCAAAAATTAGCAGCGGACGTAGAAGGATTTTTAGACGATTGAACTTTACTAGAAGAGGGGGTCGTGTTTGACACACTGTTTATCTTTGAATCATTGTGTAGCAAGGTATGATGCTTTTTGTTGCATCGTTTACAAAGGCTAGATTGACAAACACCTTGATGAATTCGTAAACAATTCGAGCACAATTGTTAAGTTAACTTTTTTTCTTTAACAAGTGACCAATGTTGACTAATATTGAGCTTGTTAAAATCGGGACACCTAAAGAGAAAATGCTCGAAACTGCAACAAACGCAAGCGATCTTCGTATTGGTTGTCAATACACGAGCTTCTACCTCTTTGCGCTGAAATTTCTTAGGACTCGAGTTGGTGTGTTCAAATGTGCGCTTCTGACTCAATTCGGAGTTCTTGGGAGCTAACTCTAAAACACTAACCCGAAAAGACGCTTCTCGTATATAATCAAGTAATTTTTGCAAACTTGGAAGTTCGTCAAGAGAAAGAGATTCCTCCAATCTGTTACGCGTGGAAGTCGGAAGAGCTCTTTCGATTGTTCGAATTAGCTGACGATTTTGTCCTTTGATCCCCAGAGCAGTCAAAGCAACGGGATGTTGCTCTACTGTGTTTACCAAGGTTGACAAACCGACAGAGGTTGCTTTCTGCAAATGAGGTATATCGATGAGTGCGTCTAAATGTTTAGAAACGAGCACGCGCTTTCTTTCGTACGAGTCTGTAAGAAGCTTTCAAGCTTTTGAGTAATTTTTAGCTGACAAACCAAAGGGAGCTACTTTGGTTAGGGCCTCACCGCGCATTGCACTCTCTAAATAAGTCAGCTTGGTAACATCATCCAGATCCGTACAGGAGTGTATGATTAAACTGAAAGCATTTTTGAAAGAAAGCCATTTGTCGATATTTCCGTTAAATAACGGGATCTCAGTAACCGGAAGCTTTGGAAGTTTTGTCTTTTCTGAAAAGGTAGGGTTTGCTAACGTGATAAAAGAAGGATCGACGCTTACAGGAGGAGGCCTTAATTCCTGGAGTTCACCAGCAATTAGGAAAAATTTGCTTCGCCAATCTATTAACTCGCCAAGTTGAACGTGATCTGATTCAAGAGACGATAATTCATCATGCAGTTCTTCATATTTTCGAAATGCATTTGTTAAAAATTCTAAACGAAGAACTGCATTATTCGGAGAAACCTTACCGTCATCGAGCGCGGTTTTGGCTTCCAAAAGCTGATTGTTTAAAGAAACTCCCTTTTGCACAACATACGCGACGCGTTTAACTTGAGCCATCTTTGCGAGTAACAATTTTTAAAAGCGATGTTGCGTTTTTAATGCATAAAATGCAAACTATGCGTGTAACGTGACGAACACAAGATGTGGCAATGGTTCGGAACCAAGCCCGTTTGTAAAATAAAGATGAATAAAGATCGTACACGTTTGTATCCTCGGCCTACGACAGGACGCAAATCTTGGTTGTTATGAACACGGATTGGAGGTTACGTAGACGTTAAAATCTCCCACACGTACACTAATACAAAAAAATGGCCCATCTGAAAAAAAATGTCGGAATCCTATGTAGAATTACTTCTGTAATACTTTCAGAAAAGCCATATGGCATTACACATGGTTTTACATATGGCATTACACAAAGAGTTTTAGCTTAGCGATGCCATGTGTAATTCCATATGAAAAAACACATGGAATTACTAATTGGAAAAAGAAAGAATTTCTATCATCTAGAAATAACTGCAAAATACCATAATAAGTTATTTGTCGTTAACAATGTGTCTTACCACCGGGATGATAACTCCAAAACAAGGGGGATCAGCTGGTTTTACTTCTATACAGAAAATTTTTTTTTTTATTCCTGAAATACAACTTGAATCCCCTTGTTTTAGAGTTATCATCCAAATGGTAACACTACTTGTTCACAGTAAATGACGCATTACAGTATTCTGCAGTTAGTTCTAGATGACAAAATTTTTTTCCTTCTTCCAATTTGTAATTCTATGTGTTTTTTCAAATGGAATTACATATGGCATTACCAAGCTAAAACCCCTTATGTAATACCATACGTAAAACCATATGTAATGCCACATGGCTTTCTTGAAGGTATTACAGAAGTAATCACATATGGAATTCCATCTTTCTTTTTCAGGTGGGGGCAGTTCGAGAAAGACGATAATCAGTAAATGAACAGAGAGCTTATCTGTCTTATAATGAAGACAATGTCGAAAGTAGCACTGAAGGAGGGCAAGGAGCATCCATCGTAGGAGTAGGGAATTGGCGTGGTGCGGAGCGTTGGTGAGGAAAGGCGGTGGTTGCAGAATGTCTAGTGTGCTACGTGGCTGACAGGAGATGGTGTGGCTTGACGCGGCTCGTACCTCACAGGAGGTACCATGAAATGTTGCGTATGCGACGGTTTTAAGCTCTGAAGTTTAAAAAAAAAACAAGGCATTAAAAAATGATGATCTTAAATGATTGTGTATATTTGCGTCGCAAAGAGAGTAGGACCCCAGGGGTCAGGCGTCGCTCTCTTAATTTTCAGTTACGTAATTGAAGTTCAAAAAAACGCTTACGGCTATCAAGTCAATGAAAAACAGCATGAACAGGAAAAAGCCTTTTGGCAAAAAACCTGGTTTATTTCAGTGAAAGAAATTACATTTCGATTATAAATAATAATAGTGATAAACCTTAATAGTATATTATCAAAGAGAATGAGTAAAATGATGCCTAAGTTATTTAAGAACACCTTTTGGTTGGATTGTAGACCAAACTCTTTCCCAAGGGGGAAGGTCGATTAAGGCGAGCCGTTGCTCTAAGATTAGAGATTGCTGGCCAGGCAGATCCGGCATTTTCGTCGTCACGAAAATGTTGCGTCAAGTAATAGACGTTTATGAGGCGTCATGGGCAACCAGAAAATCGAAAAAAAATGTAAAGGTTACAACAATCGAGCTTTTTGTGGGTTAGAAAAGACAGATAAGTCAGCTTGAACGTCTCAAAAAAAAGTGAAAGAGAGTGCACACACAAATTTTTAACTCACCTTTTTTCACAGTGTGAATGTAGCTTATAAAAAAAAATCAACGCGTCTGACAAACTCAACTGTTTCTGCTGATCCACATAACATACTCCCCCGCGCTCACGAAACGAAAGGAAGANCACAATGTATAACATTTTAATTATAATTGTAACATATTTTTATTTTATAGATAGAGTTGATGGGATTGATAGTGCTTATATCGAACAACAGCAGGAGCAACCCCCTTATCATCAACATGGAAGTGGCGTTGCAAGCGTCACCGTGCAAACAGAGGATGAACCGGACACGTCAATAGATACAATTATATTACTTTGGAAAGCGATAAAAAAAATTTGTAAAATCTTTTAAAACCACTTGTTGCGCGATAAAATTTAAAATTACCAACCCTTCCGATGCAGCGAATACTTTAGATTGGATCAAGACCGCTTTTCAAGAACTTATAACTGTTATTAAAAAAAATTACTCTAGTAATTATCTTGTAGGGATAGATTTGCACTCAGACGCGTTAACTGAGGGATCGGTGGGTATCTATTACAAACTTATTGATCAAATAAATTTTCAGGACATCTGGGGTCTATGCAAAAAAATTGAACAAAGCAAACGAATAATCGACATCGCGAAAATTTTAGTAGTTGAGGTTACATACATCAAACTCCCTCAAGGGTAGGGTGCACAGGAAGATATTTTAAATAGTTTGAGTAAAAAAGGCGTCTTAGTGATAAATAATAGAGATAATCTATGGTTAGCTAGGGATCTTGTATGTGGTAAAGTTTTGACTGCGAAAAATTGTTCGTCAGATTGGTCCCAACAATGGAAAAAAATTAAAACCGAAAATGAACAAAAGTCGGAAGCTATTAAATTAATGCAAGAGTGTGACATTGAAATAAATAACGAACAAGGGTATGGATATGTAGAGTTNATGCAGTTCTTCATATTTTCGAAATGCATTTGTTAAAAATTCTAAACGAAGAACTGCATTATTCGGAGAAACCTTACCGTCATCGAGCGCGGTTTTGGCTTCCAAAAGCTGATTGTTTAAAGAAACTCCCTTTTGCACAACATACGCGACGCGTTTAACTTGAGCCATCTTTGCGAGTAACAATTTTTAAAAGCGATGTTGCGTTTTTAATGCATAAAATGCAAACTATGCGTGTAACGTGACGAACACAAGATGTGGCAATGGTTCGGAACCAAGCCCGTTTGTAAAATAAAGATGAATAAAGATCGTACACGTTTGTATCCTCGGCCTACGACAGGACGCAAATCTTGGTTGTTATGAACACGGATTGGAGGTTACGTAGACGTTAAAATCTCCCACACGTACACTAA